TGGCAGATCTCTCTCTCCTTTGCTCTGTAATTCTGCCTTTCAAATATGAATAAATAAATCTTTTTTAATACTGAGTAAAAATCTATTATGCTAAATAATTCAAAAGTTGTGAGTTTGCAATGTATGGCTGACTTCACATTCATATCAGTATAAATGAATCATAAATATATATTTACATACATTATGTATTTATAAAAGAGACTTTTCAAAATTGGGTTCAAGTCAATGAATATAAAAAAATCACATGTTTGGTTCATGCTCTTTGTTTAAAGTTTTTCAAAGTCTTAGAAATAAAGAGCTAAGTGTAGGGAAATAAGTCTATTCACCTAAGCATTTTGAGGCTGACTTTCCAAGTAGCACTGGGCAAGAAATTTTCATAAAAATATTTTCCATAGGTATTGTGTCTCTTTCCTGTCTGCAGAATATTTATCCAAGACAAATTTAGTTTTATTACAATGTAACAAATTACCACAAACATAGCCCCTAAATTAGCTACCATATATTTTCTCAGGTTTGTGTGTGTGTGTGTGTGTGTGTGTGTGTGTCATTGAAAAATCTAGATTTGACTAGATGATCTGACAAGGCAGAAGCCAAGATGTCAGCGAGGCCTGTGGTCCCCTTGGAGGTTTAGTGTTCTTTGCCACGTTTGTGTACTGACTGGTACTCATGGTGTCTCGCTTCTGCCACAGCAATAGCAGGGCATGACTGTTAGTTCTACACATTTCCTGAAAAAGCTCATCCAACCAATCAGCCTCACATAGGTCATCTCCCTTCCAGATGATTCACAGCCAAGGTATTAGTCAGCAAAATGTTCCTTTTCTCTTGCTTAAAAAGTTATGTATTTAACTTGAAAGTCAGAATTGAGAGAGAGAGAGCCAGAGACAGAGAGAGCTATGCACTGACAGGGGCTGGCCTGAATCTGGGGACCCATAAATACCAGATCTCCTTCTTGGATATAAACATCCAAAGCTTTGGACCATCTTTCACTGCCTTCCCAGGCCGTTAGCAGGCAGTTGGAATGGAAGTGGAGCAGCCGCGGGATGCCAGTGCCATAGGTACACACTTAATGTGAAATGCCACGGTCCCAGCCTCAGCCCCAGTAATATGCAGTTAATTCAGGTATCAAGCATAGTCACAGCTCCCATCAACCCTTAAGGAGAAGAGATTATATATTGCAAAAAATTTCCAAAATATCCTAGATTTCCATCCATTTCCTGAAAAGCAGTTAAATACTGCAACAGCAGCATTTAAAAACCATTTAGTTTCTTTGCAGTACATCCTCACTCTGAAATTATTAAGAACGGCTCTTAATTTCATAACTATCGATTTCATTTTTCAATTTTAGCATAAGCTCTCTCCTTTCCCTACATCACGCTCACCCACTGTCAATCTAATCCTTGGTTTCTCTTCCTTTCTCTTGCTGTGATCCTGAGCTACTGAGCCAGTCTCCTGAGAGGGCAGAAACACGGCCGTTTTCATGATCTGGCACAATGCCTCGGTCCTCATCAGTGAATGCACTTGTGCATATTAACGACATAAATCATTCTAGTGACTACCTCATGTCAGAAATATCTTACTGTAAATGAAATCACAGCACTAACCTGCAATTCCTAAAGGGGAAAAAGACAAAGAAAACCCAGGATGGCTCTCTTGCCCTTAGAAAGATGGGGGACCTTCATCAGCCTAGATAGAATTGAACACTGCCTTTTCTTCCTTTCAGAGAATCTTTCAGAACTGAATAAAATAAAATTGTCAGGGATAGCACTGTAAGACACATTGCTGAAATCTTCGTTCTTACTTTTTCTCTGCATTAACTTCTAAACGCAATTTCCAAATCAGAGTTTTGGTCTCCTCCAACAAGATGTATGCAATCACCTCCCCTGCCCAACTCTACTCGTGATGCCAATGGCATGTCAAACACTCACCAAGGAGACATATGGACAATTGAGACCTTACTGCCTTCCTCTTTTATATCTATAGATTTTAGCACAGCAGAGTACATTGATACATTTAGTCAACCAAGGAGAAGCGAATGATTTTCCTTTTAGCTTGGCGTGAGAGACATTTCCAAGCACAAACTCTGGGATATTTATACTTTCAAATGTTTGCACTGCTGTCCTTCAGCTTTCCCATGCCCACTCAGTTTTCAGCAGGCACTTCACTCCTCCAGGGTGGATGCAGAGGCACAGTTGACATCTGTCATCCTTAAGGAATCCACTTCAATGTGACGCTACCTCCTTTCAGCACTGGCCCTGCATCAACCCACTCCTGGGCCACCAGTAGCACCTTGCCCTCTCCACCCATCACCATTCCCATTCCTCTGTACCTCAACTGCAGACCTTTAATGTTCTCCAAGCCATGGACGCTGCATGTGCTGACACATCAATTCCACTGCCACATTTCATGCTGTTACATTGCACAACCTGTGTCTGACACTTCCAGTGGGCAGGAAGTGAATAAATATCTCCGTGCGGGCGTTATAAGTTACAGACTTTGATTTTCTTCATCAAAACTCTTTCGAAGAAATTAATATTCAATGACAAATGTTTTGTGTTTCATCAGCTGATTTTTAAAATTTCCATTTATGGTTCCTCACTCTGATTTCATCCTTCCCTCCTAGCCACCATGTATCATTACAACTGAATTAATGAAGTTTTATAAACTGTTTCTTCGAAAGTAAACATTTTAGTCCTAAACAGAATTGTATTACATCAAAGACATATCATTTGAGATTACTTTGGCATTTGGCATTATCAATAAGGAAAGCATTTTCACCTTAAGTTTTACTTATTTTCCTTTTAAATATTGGTAGGTTGGATCTAGAGGATGTGTCATAGAAAACTGCAGAAGAAATATCAGGTTTTTATTTTATGTTTCAATATTTCCATTATAAGAGGAAAATCTTTCCAATTTCTAGAATACTCATGGAGTAACTTATAGAACATTAGCTTCTAGTAATAACAGAAGTTCCCATTCAGGGCACTGATGATAACTTCTCTTGTTTTGACCTTCCTATGAGAGATATTTAAATTTTGTTTGCATTCTTTATAGGGAGCACTGAAACACTTAGCTTATCTAAGGTGCAATGACCTGAGTAATAGAAGCAGAGAAAACTGCTAATTTAGAGATTTTAAATGGATAAACCTTGTAAATGGATTATGGAAATTTAACATAGCAAATCAACTTTAATCGTATTGTTAATGAACTCCCACAATTTAACTGTGAACTTTTCAAATGTTGGGCTATGTTTATATTCAATGTCAAGTACACACAAGCCAAGGGTACATTAAAATAAAATTAAAGGTGTTCTTAACTTTTGGAGACTTCTAATACTTCCTGTGAGTATATACTATATACTCTATTCTGCACACAAGTGCAGCAACTGAGATTGTCTTAGCTCTTTTACTATAATTCTTTTTGATTTCATGTTTGATGGTTTGAAACAAATACTGCATAATAACAAAATCAAGATATTTATGTTCTTTTAGAAGATTAATTTATTTACTTTGAAAGCAAATTTACACAGAGAGAAAGAGAGTCCTTTCCTCTGCTGGCTCACAGCCCAAATGGCAACAAGGCTGGGGCTGGGTCAGGGCAGAGCCAGGAGCCAAGAGCCTCTTCCAGATTTCCAGCACGAGTTGCCCAACCACTTGTGCCATTCTATGTTGATTTTCCAGCCCATTAGCATACAGCTGAATCAAAAGTTGGGAGTATTTTAAGTGTCAGCTTAACCCCACAATGTCAGTCCCTAAATTAAAGTTTTATAGATTTATTTATTTGAAAGATAGAGGTAGGCAGACAGAGAAAGAAGAGATCTTCCATCTGTTGATTCATTCCCAGAACGTCCACAATTGCTGGGAATTAAACAGGCTACAGCCATAAGGAAAGACCTTCATCCAAGTCTCCGACATGAGTAGTACAAACCCAGGTAGGCCAACCATCACTCACTGTTTCCCAGGTATGTTAACAGGGAACTGAACTAGAAGCATGCTAGCCAGGACTCAAATCATCACCCCAACATGCCAATGTGGGATGCCAATGTGGCAAGTGGCTGATACTTCATGACCAGGCCTTCCCCTAAATTCCTATGTGAACCTAACTTACTACTACAAAGTGTGTTTTTAAAGACAGAAATGTATGCATGGGTTTTCAGCATGCTACCTGCTCTTGTGTGTTACACAGTGGTCTCCAATTGACCAGTAAATCAGGCTCAGTTGCCTCAGAGCCAAATGGCCATTATTCACCATGATTACTACAGAGAACACATTGGGCATGATCCCTGCCCTGACAATTCTTCTCATCTCTTTCATCGTTACCTGTTCAAGCATTTTGTCATAGTTTGAATTCTTCAGAGTAGAGGTTGGGTGGAAGCCTCACATAAAGAATGAAAATGTGACAAATGGCCACTTATTGGTCATTAACCATCATGATTAGAGCAGCCAGCCTCTTTGAAACAGGGTCAGCATTAAGAAACAAAACCATCTTTTAGAATATCCCCTTGATAGGAATGAAGCTCTTCATTATCTCATCATTAGGGTCCATGCCAAATAAAACACATCTCTCAGCATAACCCAAGTCCTAATTGTTCATTTAGTCATTGATTTAAACTGGAAGCAGTGAGAAAAGCAAGTAACTAGGCTACTGTACTATCTCAAGATTTTCAAGAGTACAATGATATTCACTGCTAGCAAAACAGCTCAGGGCCAAGAGCTACAAAGCCAGATTATTTCTACTACCCAGCCACATTTGGAAATTACAGTTATTGACTGAGCTAAAAATTAGAACAATCGATTTTTAGCATGTGATCTTGCCTGCTATTGAAATTATGAGTTTAATGAACCAAGCTCTAACACTTGAAAAATGTTCCATCAAAAATATTACATTGCTAAAAACTGAAAGATTGTCAAAGACAAGATGCATACAGAAAATAGCAAATGAGGCTGGAGGCCTACTTGACAATGAACGTACAAATAACAGAATTAGATATAATTAGTTGCAAGTGTGACAAATATCATCTTGATAGGAAAAAATTCCTTACCAAGCACTTGAGATTTCTGAGTTCTCATCAGATCTTGTAACTACAAAAAGAGCAGAGAAGTCACAGGCTTCATGTTCTCAGCAACAGAAAGTGACTGTATCTGCCTTCACCTATGAGGTAATTGGGAGGAATTCAGAATCCACCTTAGGAATGCAGTGGGAAAGAAAACAGAAATACCAAGATCATGGAGTCCTGGTGGACAAGGTGCTGCTCTTCAGTCTTGGTATATTGCCTGACGCATCCCAGGCACCCACAGAACACCTCCCAGCGCTAGGCCAATGAGAACACTGAAGGAAGCACACAGAAGGAGATCACACAGGCCAGAGCAGTAGGAATGCAAAGAGAACAGGAAACCGCAGTAGTGTGAAATCAAGACATGTCTTGCAATGACTGATCAGGGGATGCCCTGTTAGGCAGTTTAGGGTCAGCACAGGAACCAAACATCATCAAACTATTGAAGGAAGAGAAAAGACAGCAGCCCAACATCTTTGACACAAACAGGAGCAAAGGTTTCTCGAGATTTAAAAAGGAGAGAGAAACTAAGCAGTTCCCAGCTCGGAGAAGCAGAGCCCACTTCCTGGACCTTGACCTATACAGTCACAATGGACCCCCTCCATTGCAAGGGCACTAGGCTTGCCATGATGTTCTGCCACCATCATCTCAGAATTCAGAATGACCTTGTAACAACAAATTTTGAAGATCTGAGTTGCTGTGGATCCATAGCTTATGCTGCCAGACTGTTAAGGACTCTTGATTGGATATGTCCTTCTTCTTCAGAACTAAAACCTCTAGAAAAATTTTCCTTCCAACTGTTTTATAATAAGCATCTCACTTCATGCTGACTAAAAGAAATCAATTCTCCAGAACTGGTAGACTGTTAGAAAGCAAGAGGGGATGCAGAAATTAACAAGGGAGCAGGGGATACAAGACCAAGAATCTGTAACAAGAAGAAAAATATTTTAATGGCATCTTGAAAGTTTAAGCATGAATTGCTTCTTCTATTACTTCAAATAACAGTGCACTTATTTTCACAAATATCCCAGGATACACTTAGCAGGTAAGAGCAGTTTTTGAATACTATTTTTTCTAATTGAAAATCAAAACCTTCCAGACTAAATAGTATGCCACATTTTCATTGACCAAGTACTTAAATAGCTCATATGTTAACAACTAAACTATGAAAAGGTATGTTCTTGTTATGAGCTATTTGTCAGGGGAAGGACCATTAGACATTACTTTTACTACTGTTTTTACTACTTATGGTTATTGCAAAAAATTAATTGGTCATTGGAAAATTAAGCCCCTGTGTACATATGGCAAACCAGAACCAATGGTTTAGAGGAATGCCCTGCCTCTTCTTCACACAACTATAACACAAAGTATATTTTGCTTATTGTGTCAAAAAAAAAAAGGTATTCTCTTACTAACTGCTTTTCTTCCTTGGTCAGCAATCTGGTCTCTGGTGGCAATTTTTTAGAACAATGAGACTTCAGAAAGTCAAGGTGCTCGATTTTTAAACAACCAATGACCTCCAGTGTTTATTTTCATTCAGTCTAATTCTTCTTCCACAAATTCGTCCTAAATAAAATGAATTGCAGGGCCCGGCGCGGTGGCGCAAGTGGTTAAAGTTCTCGCCTTGCACGCCTGGTGAGCCCATACGGGCGCCAGTTCTATCCCGGAGGTCCCGCTTCCCTTCCAGCTCCCTGCCTGTGGCCCGGGAAAGCAGTCAAGGACAGCCCAAGGCTTTGGGACCCTGCACCCGCATGGGAGACCCAGAAGAGGCTCCTGGCTTTGGATCGGCATAGCATTGGCCGTTGCGCTCACTTGGGGAGCGAATCATTGGACGGAAGATATTCCTCTCTGTCTCTCCTCTCTGTGTATCCGCCTTTCCAATAAAAAAAATAATAAAAATAAAATCTTAAAAAAAATGAATTGCAGATTATAAAAACACCAATTCTGTGTGCCAGGCAAAATTTTATATATCTCCTTAGAAGCCCCATGATCTTTGTGGGAATTTTCTGTGCTGCTTGGGAAGCAGGCTTGATGTGGCATCACTGAATGTCACTGTCATGCTTCTTATCTTGCACAGCTTCAACCAAGGATACAACACAAGATGCAACAATGAATGCCTGGCTCAGACCGACTCACGTGCAGTAATGTTCTCCAACCTCACTTTCATTTGGGGTTGGTGTAGAGATCAAACATTGAAAGAAAGTTTAGTCAGTGCTGCTTTCAGAAGAGCAGAAAATACAAATTTTCTAATTTTCTGTTTGTATGCAGAAATAAATTAACCATGCATCTCTAAGCCATAGGAATAAAAGCAAACACAAGGTCAATTTGTGTCTTTGTCAAACATTCTTAAACATGAAGAAATAGATTAGACTTAAGAAGATACTTGTCTGTCCACCCATCTTTTTATCTATTTATCTCTCTATGGAATTTTCCTGATATCAGTTGGAACCAGTGAGTTTCAAAGAGAAAGAGACAATATCCTTAATATGCTGACTATTCCTCAATAATGTTTTCTTAATTTAGGACTTGTATGATAATGTAAATTTTTATATTTGAGTTTCCTTTGTCTCATACCAAAACCACAATTCTAGAAAATCTCACACACCATTTTGCATGCTTCCCATGACATGTGACAGCATGCATATACATTTCTGAAGAGTAAACAACGCTGAGCAGAGGCCTCGTGCTGTATTAAAAATTCATCCCGAGCAATGTGCTCAGGAAGCATTTCATCAGCAAGTCAGCCTTGATCAAAATTTGTAAACAAACAGCATCCCCAAAATTATTGATGAAAAGCAGTTATTTAGTTGACTTTGAATGATGCCAAAGGAAGACTTAGGGGTAAAAGGTTTTCTTGCCGATTCTATTCATTAGGCTGGTTCTACTCCATCAGCAATGCTCCTTTGTAACCAATATGTATTGATCAAATGCATTGTAGGCAAGGATGATCATAGCAGAATATGGATATAAATATATATATAGATATCTCACTATCCTATTTGTAAGATTTTGATTCCCAGGTAATTAAGAGTTCATCCTGTGTAATATTTTTTTTTCATGAACATAATTAGTGTCTGGAAATAAAGTAGCCTTTTTTACTCTATAATCTGGCATGAAATGAAAAAAAAATATTCACTTATAAAAATGTTTTCAACTGGCCTTCACTGAAACAGGTAAACAAATACTTGTATCACTACCTATACATACAGAACAAAATGAAGAAGTCACAACAAAAATATGATGAGGAAGAGATGAGCTGGAACTGAAGAGGCATTCCAAACAATTTTAGAGTGTGTAGCTCACACCTGTAATGGAGCTCAGCCTTTTTTTTTTTTTTTTTTGCCAAGACAGACTTGAATTATAGATCTTTGTAGATCAATGTCAACTAGGGTTAGATCAAATATGGCTTTTGTGTGTTTATATATGTGGATCAAAGACTGAGGATTATTATCAAGATCAGTTATCCAGTAAAATAAAAATTAAAATGTCTTCTGTGAAAGCTATTAAAGAAGTTTTAAGTAGTTTAGATTTCCTATTCAGCACTCCCTTAAAATAATTTTTAAATCAATGACATTTCTTTTATATTATAAATTCTATAACTTTCACTCTCCATCTTGTTAGAAAACTATATAAAATCATACCTGAACGTTAAAAATCTTAAACTCTGCTTCGGGTATAGAAGCATTGTATTTCTGTGAATTTACTAGTCATTCAATATCATATATATATATAAATAAACTGATCTGTTTTGAAAATGTGATTCTAAAAACACCTGATTAAATAAGGTTTTTTAGAAATATTGATCAATAAGTGGCAGAGACAGGAACTTTGGAAGTTTGCCAGTTACTGAGAGAATGGCAGTACCTATAGGCCAGGAATCCATTTGCAATTCTTATCCATTGAAATTATCTCATACATTGACAATTGTACATCCAAAAGTATTTAATTGCCATATAATATTCCAATATAACTTTATCAGTGCATGTAATAGATTACATACTATTGAATGTTCACTGTAATAATTTTTGAGAACTATAAGAATGTCTAAAAATGAAAGCAAAGTTGAAAGTACACTGAATTGTACATCATACACCAGTAACAAATTGACACATGCCAAACAACAAGAATAGCTATCTTATCCAGATGATGTATCTTTCATTTAAATAACCAATGTATAAGGTGAAAACTAGATCACTTATTTGGTAGGAAAACTGAGTTAATAAAAAAAATGAAAGTGTTGAACTTATTCTAGCTAGTTTGCTCATGTGTTGCTACCAATCCATCCACGAGGCACTTATTGTACATCTTATTTTTTACCTGGGACACTAATGTAAGTGTAATGCTTTTCTGATATGGCGGGACAGTTTCACTGATGATGCATAAAGAAAACGAAGTGTTAATTTGATAACTTTTAGTACATAGAGCTTCAAAATACAAGTGAAGATGACTTTACATGGATACAATGAAAACTTCACTTGTAATTAGTAAATCTCGCCTTATTTTTGAAACATGAAAGCTTGTTAATAGGGCAATTTACAGCAGAAATGACAAATCTGGCCAGGGAACAATTTTAAGTTAGGTAAACAAGAGTTCAAGATTTAGACCAGAAATGTACTCCAAAAATAAAATGAGCCTAAGACATATTTTGCTTGGTGATACAAAGCAGAATTCAGGAAGATATTGTTTAAGAGTTAAAACAGAAGTTGGCAAGCAGAGATTGCTCATGCCGCTGGTGTTGTTCAGCAATGGTATGGACACAACACTCCACCAATACTGGGCTTATCTGCTGAGACCCCCACCCCCCAGACTGGACGAGCTGTCCTCAAAGAACATATCCCCTCTCAAGCAACACTAGCTACTTGGTTTTCCTTACAGAACATCATCTTCTCATCCTCCTTAGTAAGTAAGCTTCCTCATGAAAAATGGGAGCCTCGATGCATTCAAAATTCCAATAGTTTTTGCCAAAAGCCTAATCTGATTAGCTGGCCATAGTTAATGAAGCTGACCCTAAATTTTCAGCTGCTCAATTTCACTGCAAAGACCCGCAGGCCATTATTGGAACATGGAACTGTCCTTGCACTCCATCTTGCCCCTTTGC